AATGCAACAAGGTGGTTGTTTCACCCCCCATGTGCAAACAGGTTGTATCCACACTCCGGATCCAACCTGGGCGAGGCACACACTGCACTGACAAGCTTAAAGGCAAATACCTGCCTTCCAAATCTGAGACAGACAGCAATTCCATTGTACCCATCCAAGAGGACATAATCAGGGAGGAATTGGAAATATCTGACCAGAGTAAGTGCATAAATAGGCACACACATATCTAAGTTGTAAGCAACAAAAGAATGCCATTACAGATATACCAGGGTTTCTCAAACTTCGTTGCCCCCAACCCCCTTCTGACTACAAAAATTACTACACGATCCCAGGAGGGGGGAACTGAGCTCGCCCAAGCCCTGCTGTCCCAGGTGGGGAGGGCCAAAACCCCAAGGCTTCAGTCCCAGACAGGGTGCCTATAATCTGAGCCACGCTGCCCAGGGCTGAAGCCTTTGGGCTTTGGCTTCAGCTTCGGGCCTGAGCAGTGGGGCTTGGGCTTTGGCCCCAGACCCCAGCAAGTCTAACGCCAGCCCTGGTTACAGATACTAAGGACTTCATCCCATCCTGTCTTCATCCACTCCCCCATCTTGAACGACCTCCATTAAATGTGAGCTGTTGTTAATGAAATCTCACATCTCCAGGACATAGGAAAAATAGGAAGGGTTCCTTCAGAAGCAAGATTCTTAGGATAATACTCCACTTTCTTCATTGTCTAGATGTTGTTTGAGCCATCCAGCATCTCAAGTGGCTCAACAAATGGATGAAGATGACAAGATGGTGGATGGAGTCTATAGTTTCAGATATCCCTGTCTCCAGGGGACTTCCTTGCTTCTGTGATTCTAGCAGATGCACACTCCTATATGGCCATGTAACCACAGACTACTGAGATTCACATACATCACGGCTTGCCACCAGAACCAAATGCTGCCCTCTGGCCATTTGCTGGCCCCCAGGGTCTTTACCAAGATGGTGCTGATGAAGCCAAATTCAGTATTCAGAGCACTCACTATATCCCGCTCCTGGATGACATTTTGATCAGAGCTTTGACCCAAGCAGCGGCACATTGTGCTACAATCCGGATGCTGGATCTGCTTCACGCACATCAATTAGTGATAAATACCAAGAAGAGCTTCTGGACTTCCTCCATAAAGAGAGTTCATCTGGGAGCACTGCTGTAGCGAAAGGCAGGGCCGGCTCTAGGCACCAGCAAAACAAGCAGGTGCTTGGTGCGGCTCATTTCTAGGGGTGGCATCCCGGCGCCGGCCCTGCTGCCCCTAGAAATGTGCCCCCGCCACCCCAGCTCGCCTCCGCCTGCTCTCCTGAACGCACTGCCTCTCCCTCGCCTGAGAGGGAAGGGGGAGAAGCAGAGCGGCAGCATGTTCAGGGGAGCAGATGGAACGGAGGTGAGCTAGGGCGGGGGGTTGCGGTGAGGGGGAGCCGCAGGAAACAATGGGGGGGGGGAAATGCGGCACGCCTGGGGGAGGAGGCGGGGCTGGAGATTTGGGGAAGGGGTTGGAAAGGAGTGGAGCTGGGGGTGGGGGGAGGGCACAAAAAAAGCGGGGGCAGCCAAAAAATTTTTTTGCTTGGGGCGGCAAAAATCTTAGAGCCCGCCCTGGATTGGACAGATTCCACAAGATGCAGAACCTGATATCCATGTTGGTAAAGTGTGCAAGGCCAATCCTAATTATCTACAGCTACTGCGCCTCTTGGTTTTGTGTACAGAAATCACCTCATGAGCAATGGTCCTATATCAGAGGACAGGCCTGGAGGCACCTGAAAGTATGGAATCATTCGCCTGCAAGATCAGGTACTGGTTCCAAACCAGATGCTGACTCTCTAAGATGATGGAAAATTCCACAAAATGTTTGCAAGGGTCTTCACACATGCCTTCCAGACCCCCACATACTCACAACGAATGCCAGCCTCACAGGATGGGGAGCTCACCTGGGCCCAGGATAGCACAAGGAGCTTAGCAAGCCAAGGAAAAGAACCAGAGCATTAAAGCTGTTGGAGCTCAGAGCTATCAAGCTAGTCCTACAGAGGTTCCAGAACTATTCTTCATATTCATCTCGCCAGCAGGTTTTGACACCACAGTCAAGAGTCTGGAAGAACCTTTGGAGGATTTGTACCATCCCTCTTTCTTTTGGTGTAACCTTCCTTTTTCCGCAGGAAGCCTGGACTGGAATCACCACACACCAGTGAGTCCTAGAAATTATCAGTACAGGATACTGACTGCAGTTCCAGACCCTTACTATTGCTACCTTCCTTCCCCATCCCTCTTCAGGAAATCTAAGGAGGTACTGTTGAAGCAAGAGCTAAACTGTTTCCCACATCTTAAAGGAATGGAGGTGGTGTCCTCAGTTAAGGTACAAATGATTTTACTCCCATTATTTTCTCATCCTAAATTGGAAAGGCGGATGGTGTCCCATTCTAGATTGCACCATGGGAGTTCAAGTGCTTGACAGATGTGGAAGCTCACTTAAGGAGACAGGGTATCAAGGTCTACCCCTACTTTGACTGATTGATATGGGGAAGATCATCAGTCCAACAGGAGACCAACTCTGTTTAAAGAAAAGGAGTACTTGTGGCACCTTAGAGACTAACAAGTCTCTAAGGTGCCACAAGTACTCCTTTTCTTTTTGTGACTACAGCCTAACACGGCTGCTACTCTGAAACCTGTCAACTCTGTTGTAAGTAATTCTACAGCTTCTTACCACACTGAGCTTCAACACAGATAGAATGAGCATAGATTTTTCTCTGACTGCAAGTATGGAGTTCATAGAGCTGTGGTAGGTTCAAAGATGATGAGAACTTATCTTCTGCAAGAAAAGTTCCAAACTATAGTAGACCTCATCAACCAACTTCAAACTCACACAGACATCAGTTAGAGCGTGCCTCAGACTTCTCAGACAACATGACCGCATGCACATACATGATGCAATTTGTCAGACTTCACCTACTCTCCCTGCAAAGGTGGTTGAAATCAGTTTATTTCTCCAGCAAATGTCACATGGACATCCAGCTCATGGTCCCACAAGAAGTCCTCTCCTCATTTAACTGGTGAAAAGACCCTCTTCAGGTATGCATGGGAGTGCTATTCTCTGCACCAAGACTCTGGTGACAGATGCCTCCAGGCAGGGATGGCTCATTTGGATCTCCTACAGATAGAGGGCCTGTGGTTACCTCAGGAAGTTCATCTGCACATAAATATCCTGGAACTCAGAGCCATCCACTCTGGGTCTAAAGCATTTCTGTCTTTACTTCGGGAACCACAGTCCAGGTCCTGACAGGCAACAGCTCAGCTATGCATTGTGTTAGACAGGGAAGCCATTTGGCTCTGGACTTGGTGTATTCATCATCACAGCATGCCATTGGCCCTCTCTCTTTCAGGTGTTTGGAACTCACTAGCACAGGGGTTCCCAAACTGGGGGTCACGAGGTTATTACATGGGGGGTCACGAGCAGTCAGCCTCCACACCAAACCCTGCTTTGCATCCAGCATTTATAATGGTGTTAAATATATTTAAAACGTTTTTTTTAATTTATAAGGGGAGGTCACCAGTTCAAACGTTTGAAAACCACTGCACTAGCAGATCCTCAGCAGACAATTCTCAGACACCCACAAGTGCTGTCTCAACAACTCAGTCCTGCAGAAGGTCTTGGTCTTTTACAAGTAGTGATTCCCAACAATAGACATGTTTGCCAGAGATCAGAACAAGAAATGCCACTGATTTTGTTCCCGAAGGAGTGCAAGCCTACGTTCCCTGGAAGATGCCTTTCTTATCCCATGGACACTGGGTCCAATGTATGCCTTCCCTCCATCCCCATGATGCAGTGTGTTCTGAGGAAACTGAGGCAAGACAGAACTGATGATCAGGGTAGGCCCAGGATGGGCCAGGAGTTTTGGTACTCTGATCTGGTGAGCCTGTCAACGCAGTCCTCTTTCCAGTTACCTGCCATACCCAACTGTCTTGCAGAACTAGAGTCAGATCCTGTCCCCAGCATCATATCATTACACCTAACAGCCTGGGTGCTGGCTGTTTAACTGTCACCACAAGAAGCTGTTCAACTGAAATTCAGACCATTCTGGTCCTAAGCAGAACTGCCTCAACTAGATTGCCGTAAAGCTAAGTGACTTAGCCAGATTAGATCCTTCTGTGATTAGTGTGTACTCCACTACAGTGCAAACAACCTGTATGGTCAAGTCTTAGTACTATCCTGGCTTCTGAAATCTGTAGGCTGGCTACGTGGAGCTCAGTACACACTTTTACCCAACATCATTCCTTAGTTGAGGCTTCTGGATCGGATGCCAATTTTAGTAGTGCTGTTCAACAATCCTTGTTTAAATAGGCCTCCTAGCAACCAACTCTAAGCAAGGCGGTAACTGTTGGAAGGTCACCATAAGTGGGATCTCTCTGGACAGACAGTCAAAGGAGTAAATGGCTCCTTGTATTGCAGTAACTTAGGTTCTTCGAGATGTCTTGTGCATGTGAATTCCATGACCTGCCCTTGTTCCTTGCTACTACAGAATTCTACAAAATTGGGATTCAGTATTGGAGAAGGAACTGAAGGGTGGTAGCACCAGTGGGGGGAACAAGGACATCCAGGCCAGAGATGCAGCCCCCCTGGACACTGCTGGCCAAATGAATCCAGTCCTGCATTCATGAGGATCATGTGCACTAGGAATGAAATCCATGTGGACAGCACATATTAAAGAATTACAGTTACTGTAAAGTAACACGACTGTTCTTTCCTAAATTTTGTAAAACTTTGTGGCCTGTTGGCTGAGGCATTTGCTCTGGGTGGTATTTTACTATTCCTTCCTGATAATGTTCTCAAAAGGTGACTGTAGGAGGAGTACAGTCTCCAGTTTACATTTGGACGCCAGGTATTTCCTCATTGGCTTTCTGCTGCCTTATCCTTTCCAGGTTGCATTTCAACCATGGCCACTATTTTACCACACACTGTCAAATTTGACAATGAGAATGAGAAGTTTCTTACCAGATAATTTTCTTTCTGCTAGCAGCTTCTGTACTCATTCATAAAAATGGACAATGCATCTGACCCGTGGAATTTGGAAGTAGTCTTGTGTTGTTGCTTTCAAGTTCCAGAAATGAGTCACTGTCTTTCAACTCAAGCTACTGTCCACAGGAGCTCTTCCAAAGCTGTAGAAACACTCCAGGAACAGATGAGCATTGACAATAACTTGAAGTTACATTAAACCTAAAAGCAATTATGTATTTGTCTCCCTTTAAAAAAAATTGGGGTTATGTCTGTACAATATATGAATTGTGATTGATATCATGAAATTGTATTATGAAAATCTTGCTGTATAATGAATGCCTGTATGTATGTGGATCCGCCATTGCTGACTGGTGTTGTACACACCAGCCCGGGGCAATGGGAATACTTAAGAATAACAATGGTACTTAACCCTCACAAAGCTTATGCTAAAAAGCAGTGCAAGCCTTGGAAATCCAGTCTAGTTTTAATCCTCTGAAATCAGGGGTGAGGTAGGAGCAATGGAAAATTACTAAAAGGAGTACAAACTATGCCTATGGTCAAATATCCTAATTGTGGGAATAGCCCAAAAGAGGGGGAGCCTGAAATTATGCCTGTCTGTTCCCCCCAGGCTGGCTAGCAGCCCTCTGAGCACTTTAGGAAAGAAGTAGGGTCACTCAGGGCTTAACTCAGTAGATCTGGATCAATTTTGAACACAGGAAAGGATTTCTCACTTACCCCCTTGTAATCCCAAAATGGTGCAGCTGCATGAGGAATGGGGAGTCCTCTTCCTGACACGCTCTGTGTGTGCTACTGTGGAGACAGCCTCTGTGTGTGTGTCTGTGCATCTAGAGGGACTCCTTCCTCTAGCTCTGAGCTCCTTTCCCTGGCAGGATGAGGGGCTGTGGGCTGAAAGAAAGAAAAGCACAACTCCCATTACAGGGCTGCTTGAAACTTACCCAGAGATGCTGCAACATGGAGGGGAAGGGCAGTGAACCTGATACAGACCACGGGGAGAGCTTCAGTTTAGGAGAAAAGCCCCAGCACACCCTCCCCTCCAGGGAGAAAAGGTGAAGGAGAAGGTTTAACCTGTGATTTTTACACCACTTGCTCATTAACAATATGAATTGCCTTAATGAAGGGGATGTTTTTGTCTTTTTGGGTCCTGGAGCCTCTGGAGTTTGCAAGACTTTAGCCCTGTGAGGGGTTCTCCTTTCTGCAGGAATCCTCATGTTCTTGGTCCAGCCTACCACAGCTGAGTTGTGGCTTTGGGTGGGGTCTGAGGCGCTGCCAGAGTGAAGATTGGCAGCTTGGGGCAGCAGGACATAGCTCACTCGCTGAGGCTACTGGGAAGCTGCCTGTGCCACTTCTTGCATATGGCTCAATGCTTGGAGGCCTTCACTGCCACTGTGCTAAGGGGTGAGAGTGGCTCCGGAAGCTGAACTGAAGTCGCTGCTGCATGAAAACAAATCAAAGTTAAATTATATAAAACAAAGCAATCAGAAGAAACTGAACTGCCAACATGTTCCCTTGTTGGAAGAATTATTGCTGGTGAGCTGAGCTGGAGGCTCCAGCAGCAACAGCGGGCTGCCCCCCAATTCCACAGGTGAGAGGTGTTACCTGTTAGTGAGGAATGAGGAGCGAAGCTGTGCAGCAGAATCCTCCCCGCCCTCGTGGTTGCATTCTGAAAGCTGCTCCTCTTCAGCTGAGGAACAGGAATTAAAATTAAGAGAGAGCGCTGCCTTTGGTGCCTCTTGGAGTTCATTCTCCTTTTGTCTCAAAGCTCTGTCCTAGCAGAGTGAGGGTTGGTGGGCTGTGGGCAGCTAAGGCATAGTTCAGTCTCTCAGTGTCTGAAAAAGAGTTGCTTCACAAATAGAGAACTGCTTGGGTTTCCCTTGCTGCTCTTTGGACTGCTCTGCCATGAAGGAGCCAGTGCAGCTAAGGAAGTAAAAAACAGATGTGTTCCCCAGGTGCTGACAGGCTGGAGAGAGAGCCCGCTCCTGTCCAAAAATAAATAAAGGGTGAAAAAAACAAAGGTAGGAGATTGCTGGATCACCAGACTTGTTCCTATGCTGTAGGCAGAAAGGAGGGATGTAGTGGTGGGTTGGAATATCCCAGAAACAGTACTGAATTGACTCCAACATCCACACAGACAAGGTAGAGTCATTCAGTTGTGAATGGGGGAGCAGTTAAGACCCAGAATATGATTGCAGCAATTACATTCCTTAAGATATTCATACAAATAGAGATGCAGAATGTACCCAGTTCTAACACAGTAGTGGGCACCACAGGCATACTCAGAGACAATGAGATGAATATTAAGGAAGCCTGGTCAGGATTCTGCACTATGAGTGCTGTCTCTATCGTCACGAGCGGCAGTCTTTCTAAAGATCCACATCACTTGGAGCGGGCCATGTTTTCTGAGGGAACCCTCCAACTTCCTCTCCCTTCTCTCAGCTCCAGTACAAGGGCACACACAAGCACTTCCTGAAGTTGTAACTCCTAACTCTCGAGGTGGCTAGCCCAACACGGGGTGTGGAACCTCAGCAACGCCGGCCTATGCTCCCTCTTCCCCAAGGAGGAGGAGCAGCACCACTCTGCTCTTGATCATCGGGGTGGGGGCGGGGGCATTTATCCCGCCCTCTTTCAGGGCATGACACTATTTTGCCGACCCCACTATGTCTAACTGAAGAAAAATTGCAAACTGTGCAGTAGCTGCCCCCTAACATTTTGTCCAATCTCTCCATACTGCCTCCTGGTGACTGAATGAAGTGGCCGCAATTTGGCTGTGGCCACCATGTCTTCCACAGGAACAGCAATATCATCACATGCTAGCAAGACAAAAGTCACAAAATACTCAAGTAGTTATTGCATCTGCTTTAACTATAATCTGTTTCATTGCTTACAAAGTTTCTTCTAGTTCCACAGAGACATGTTGCCCCTGAGGAGGCAGCCTATGCATATTTCCTTTGCTGGAGCATTGCGCCCTCATTTGTAATAAGTATTTGAAATTCCACTCAGGTAACTGTCATGCTGGAAATAATTGCCTGTGTGTGCCAACTGAACTTGGTACAGTGAGGCAAAAATCTCCCCACAGTGCATCACTCCCAGTAAATCTAACACTTGGTGATGAGTTGGTGCAAATACTTCCCCAAGGTCATACCTCACATCCTTAAAACAGTTAATGGATTCTTCTCCTTCTGAGAGATGTCACTAGAGAAGCATTGCAGACTCAGTGGCAAATCTATATATATATTCTTTTATATAGAAGAAAGTTTTCTGCTTCACTGTACCAACAAAACACCACACAGTCACAGGCAACACTTTTGTAATTATTTTTAAAAAAAGAAAGTCACAATTTTCAACATTTACCCAGTGATGCTCCTAGGTTTAGTTGCCAGTAGTGTGGATAAACATATATGATTCAAAATATTTTTTTTTTAAAAAATGACATTTTCTGGATTTAAATGAAATCTAGGTTTACTTTCAAAAAATACCAAAATTATTTAAAAGTAAAATTTGAAATTGACAACCCACGTTAATGCCTACATTTACTAGAAACTATTACAGTCATTTAAATTATTTTAAAACAATAATATTAAGCAGTATATCTTTGCTGATAAGTTTTAAAGAAAGTCAAAAGCACTGAACTGGTAGAAACCACTGGCTAAGCACCTGAAACCAGGGTTTGTTGCAATGCTAAAACACCTTTTGACAGCAATAGCTTCTTCTGCAGGTGCAGAAAGAGTATTTTTTTCATTTAAGTTTGTTCAACGAGTTAATTCAAAGTTAAGAAATCAGTTGGGATCTGGAGAACTAGGGAAGCTTGTTTTCCTCTACCAATCTATAAATAAAAATGACGTATGAGAGGATGAACTCTACTAGTTCAAAATTTTAGATGGCATGGTGGCCATCAATTCAATTCACTAACTACAGACGATACTTCCTTTCTTTAATAAACCAGTTAATTTTCAATGCAAACCATTTCAATAATTTTCTTACATATTCAGGACATTTAAGGTAGTTTTATTAAACTAATAATAAAAAAAATTCAAAATGCTGGTTTCGTGCATTTTAATTGAATTTTAATTTCTATCCAAATAGATTTTGACACAAAACACAAGTAAAAAAATTAATCATTGCGTAAATAACAAATGCATCATTCACCATTTTCTAACAATATAAAGAATCTGAATAAATGTGAGAATCTACATAATAGCTTAAATAAATGCATATAGATATCATAGCCTCCTGGTTAGAAAATAAAAGAACCAAATTTGGCTATATTTAGTTGCAAATCAACATGTTACAATGGTTGTCAAACAATGAGAATCAAGCTCTCTTTAGGAAAATTAAGAAGTACAAATGCAAAAGATTAAAAATGATGAGTTAAATCAAGATTTCCTGTTTGTTGATTTAAATCATGATTAAAATCGCTCAGATTTTAATCAATCCACCCTGGTGGCTGCAACTGAATAACATGAGGAGAATACTAGATATTTCTAAAACGATCAAATTGTGTGGGGTTCTCTTTAAAATTTCTTTGATTTTAAAAATTTCCCATTCAGAGGATTTGTATGTCAGTTTTAAGCAAACTTTGTTCATATCAGATATAATCAAAACCAATGAATTGTATTTACTTTGGTTCTTTATCTGATCCTCTTTGTTAGCTAAAGAGTTAGCAACTTTATAAAAGGACTCTGACTAAGGCCAACGCAGTCTTTGAAATCCAAATTATGCATGCAGTGACACAGTGGAACAAACATGTCTGTCTGATGGCTGCTGCTTTTGCAAGGAGCATTAGGTAAGAATTTAGATCACTCAGTGGTGGTAGGAAATACTTTATTACTGTCATTAAGATGATGTAGCTTCCAAAGTTTTGTTAGGATAACTTTAGCTCAATTCTAGATTCCCACTACAGTTTTATCTTGGAATAACATGCTTTAATTTAGAGAGGGAATTATGCTGCTCTGTGATTACTGTACCTTATTTTACTCCTGGGGGAATTGTGCTCCAAAAAATGAAAAATTCTGTGCACATTTTAAAATTCTACAGTTCTATATATTTTATTTGTCAAAATAACACAATACAATCACGCCAGTTTCAATTACTTTGGTCATTTATTTCCAAATACCTGTCAGCAAGTATGTCTGTAACAATACAGACAACAAAAGAGAGTCGGGAAATGTTTTTTGACAAATAGATTCCTTACTAGTCCTATTAATATAGAACTCGAGTAATAATTCATTTAAACAACAACAATACAGAAACACATTTCCCGCACCCCTCAGAAGCAGTGCAAAGCCTTGGGGGAGTCAGGGGTAATGGAGGAGCTGAGGGAGAGGGAAGTAATTGCTGGGAAGGAGCCTGGGTCTGAACATGGAGGGTTGTTGGGTGTGGGTGGGAGAAGGCTTTTTTGGGGGTTGGAAGGGAATGTTAGGGAGCCTCCACTCTGCAAATCTTGGCTCACCCTTAGCTGTTCTCATTCAGTCAGGTACATCTGCCCGTCCCTAATGTGTCCCTGCTCCCCCACTCAGCCACCCGTCCTCCCCGCATCCCTATGCATCCTTGCATCTCCCTCCCCCCACGTGTCTCCGCACCTCCACTCAGCCACCTCCTCTACCTGTCCATATGTGGCCCTGCACTCCCCACTCAGCTGCCCCCCGCGCAGCCCTGCACCCCCACTCAGCCACCTCTCCCCCTGACCCTGCATGGCCCTGCAATCCCCAGCCACCCCTCCCCCTGTGGCCCTGCATCCACATTCAGCTACCCCCTCCCCCTGCACCCCCATTCAGACAACCCCCTCCCCACACATGGCCCTGCACCCCCACCCTGTGCCCCTACTCAGCCACTCCACTATCCCTATGTGTTCCTGCACCCCATTCCACATCCGGCCCTGCACCCCCACCCCCATTCAGCCCTTACCCAGTCTGTCCTTCTGAACTCCAATCTGTGGACCTCCCCCCCTCCCAGCAGCCTCATGCTGTCCATCCCCCCATAACCCAATGCACTGACCTGGCCGGCCGCATAGGCAGGGCACTGTGAGGAAGGCAGCGTCTTTCTCTTCCCTGTCTGCAGCTGCAGTCTGTTCTGATGCTACAGCAGCCCCAGGTGGGCAAAAGGAGTAACTGCAAAATGTATTTTCTGAGGGAAAAATTCTGCATGGCACACACTCCCCCAGGAGTAGTATTTGCTGCGTTTCCACACGGTCAAATGCAGGGCAGGCTTCAATTTAAAAAATTCCGCTGGTTATGACTGTCTGTATTCCGCGTTGAGATCCCTTCCCACCTTGCTCTGGAGTTCGCGCTGCTCTTCCTGCAGAACTCCCTCTCCTCCCCCCCCTTCAACAGTCCTCCTCAGAGCGCCACAGCTAGGAGGATGGTGAAGCGCAGTGGTAGCTTCAAGCGGGGTTGGTTTTCAGAGCAGTTTTGGAAAGCATGCTTGAACGGTACAATACCCAGTGAAACCTGTACAAGTGGCCACACACCCCCTTACCGAGCAACGGCCTTAGCTGAAGAGCCCATCCCAAAGCAATCTCAGATATTATAACGCTTTACCTTAAAAGTCCACTGTTAAGTAATCCAGTTTTGTCAGTCTCAGCTCTGCCAACTCTATAGGTTGATATGGTATAAATCCCTAGTGGGACAACACCCAACTCATTGGCCTTGCTTCTCTAGTCTCGCCCCCAACCCCAGGGCCAATCAATCAGCTGCTTGCCCAGACTGTCAGCCCTCACAATAGCCACTGCCCAGCTCCATGCAGCTGCTTTCTTCTGGCTCCTCCTCCGCACCCACCCCGAGAGGTGAAGATTGGGCCCCTTGCTGGGAATGAAGAAGTCCTGCTGCCTCCAGATAGGCCTGAAAGGTGGTGAAGATCTTGCTGATGGGGGACGGGAAAGCAATGCTAGGTTTTTCTGTGTATGCGAATATGTGGAGGGGGGCTGCTAATACTGTGAGCTTTCAGGTTCTCCTCCAAGTTTAGAAGGAAAACCCACCAGGGTATGCAGCCAATCAGAGCTGCTACTCGGGTTATGAGGCTTTCTTCCTTCCTCAGCATGTAGAGCCGGCAAAGCTCCTTTTTTTTCAATCTCTCCACTCTCCCACTGCCTCCTTAAAGGGTCAGGAGCGATCAGCCCTGCTCCCCAGCACCATACCCTTGCATGTAAGGCTTCCTGCTGCACCACTGGCCTAGAGGCTGGGAATGAGACTCCCAGCTGCCCCCATCCCAGACTCATCCAGTATCAGAAGGGAAAAAAAGGAAAAAAGCAGTTGGAGATAAAAGAGGTGAGGTGAGTGCTCCAGAGTGGGGTGGGGAAAGGGTCTGGATGGGTGGAGGGACCAGTAGTAATTGAATCAGTATTTGGTGATGACAATGTGTTTCCAGCTCCTCTCCATTGTTGTGGGTTGCAGGGTGTAGGAAGAACATGGCAGCTCCTCACCCTAAGAGCCCCTGCACAATCAGCAACTACCCTACTTCCAATAACACAACTTTAGAATAGGCCATGTTTGCCCCACAGTGTTGGCGGATATGAATCTGTGAGCTGCTGGTTTTGCAGTGCAGGTCCTTCAGCGACTAAGATAAGTGTATTCATTCATACACATTTTTAAAAACACTTGTCACAATAGTATCTAAGACTTCACTACAGCAAGGACTCCATGTATTCTGCAGTTCTACTGCACCAGACTTCACCTCTTGGTGCAGAAGTGTATTCTAGCGTTCCAGAACTAAAAAAAGCAAAAAACTTTGAAAACTGCTCAATGCTAGTTCCCAAATCTCACTTACTTGAAGTCAGCTAGATAGGACTGTCTTCTATTTGGAAACTGCAAAACCAGCATCAAAGAGCTAGCTCGGTGTTGACATGCACTAAACATTTACTACTGCCCCTCTCCCTTGCTACAGTCCAAAGTATTTTTGAGGGTGGATTGCCGATTACAGATCCCATCCTTTTAAGTATGAGCTTTCTACCTAGTACAGTTAGAGATTTCCCTGATCTTAGAAACATGTGACAGACCTAGCTACACAGGGCTCTTCTATCCTTAAAATGCTACAGGAGTGCACGAGCACCGCAGTAGCTCTTCAGTGTAGACACTAGCTATGCTGACAGGTAGGGGTTTTCCTGGCAGCATAGGTAATCCACCTACCTGAGGGATTGCCTACACTTGAAACACTGCAGCTGCACTACTGTAGCACTTCACTGAAGATATTGCCTATGCTGACAAGAAGTGTTCTGCTCTCAGTGTAGGAAATCCACCTCCCAGAGAGGCAGTAGGTAGGCTGATAGGAGAACTCATCCATCAACCTAATGCTGTCTGCACCTGCAATTAGGTCAGCTTAAATACATCACTCTAGGGTGTGGTTTTTTTCACACCCTCAAGCGATGTAGCTATAGACCAGTCCTCAGACTTGAAAGGGAAAAAGCTACTTCACATATAATTTCCAGCTTTAAAGGGGAAGTCTGAAAGATTACCATCAGTAGCTCACTTTAAAAGTCCAAACTGCTTCAGAATTCAGATAGGTTATATGGACAAAAAATTAATTCACTGCAAGCAACAGCTACCTTTCCTGAAATGAGCAGGACAAAACTCCATGGATGCAGACTTATGGTCATGAAGTAATATGAAGGGCCATAGTCTAGAAAACTGGTTATGTTCAACAAAATTTAGAAAAGGATAATAAAACTAGTTAGATTGTGATTTAATGGTATTTCCCTAATGGTGTGAAGTAAAGAGATTTGTTTAAAGTTAATCAGTATTTAATGGTTGAGGTTTAAGTGCTAGATCATAGTTGTTTCGGTGAGATCAGAGTTTTGGGGACTTTCAAATTTGACCTATGGGATATTGCTGAAGGGCTTTGAATTAATAGATGATTGAGGGCTGAGGAAAAAGTCAAGAAGTCACAGCCTTCTCTGGATGCTTCTTACGTTCCAGTTTTAATGCTGCTAGAAGTAAAGAAACTGTCACTCTACAGCAGGTAACATTTTAAGTTGTGCCTTGGAATTTGACCAGCTCTGCTAACATTTGAGTATAGATGAGCAGAGTCATCAACTTTAATTCATGGTAAAGATTAATCTGTCAAAAAGTCCCAAACCCCTCTGTAGTGGTGAAAAGAGACTATGAAAAATGTAAATAAAGTACAGATGAGAGTCTTCAGGCTTCCACCAATCCCTAATTCAGCAGAGTGGAAAAACAATGTCTTTAAAAAAACCTGATAATTTAAGGTTCTGGGGCCCCCAATTACCATCTACCCACTCTCAACATGAGGGCAAAAATCTATTGTTTACGCTGTAAACAGTACAAAATATCTGGACCACTGTGTTCAAAGAACCCAGCTAGAGTCTTTCATACCTGAACAATAAAGAAACAGACGTACAGTTAAGCACAAGGGAGGTTATATACACAGGACTTCCTGCTAATCATAGCTTAGTTTTTAGAGGACAAGCTTTTTCTCTCCCTCTGCATCTTTTCAGCCAAACGGCTTAGTAAATAGAAGGGGAGGATGTATGTGCTCTCTATTCCCTAAGGAAAATAGTGTTTCTTCTATTACACTGATATTCCTAGCTGAAAGGCTATCATCCATGTAGCGAGATTAACTGGGAGCTTTAACATGCTCTCCTCTTCAGCAGATCCAGAATAATCTTCATAGTTTGTCTCACACACTCCAGTAGGTGTCACATCTGAACAAGAACTTCAGTGGGATGATCTAGATTGGTGTAATTCTGTGCTGGAGGGTATAGGTCTGTATATGCTGTGAAAATGTCAGTACTCCCTAAACTAAATGCAGGATTCATAGTAGTGTTATTTATATATTGTTTCCATTAGATGTTCATTACATGCTTACAAAAGATCCCTAAAAATCTGTAAATTCATATGGCCATTTTGGTACTGGTCAATAGCTAGCAGTCTAGTGTCATCCTGCCTCTTTGAAAGTCACAGACCTCATTTCCCCCCAAATGATCCTGTAATAGTATTTCCAGATCACATGCAAACATTGCTTTTGCAGTGGCTAAGGAGAGGATTTTGAACGATTTAATGCCAAAATGTTGTGCTGATACTGCAAGTTGTTAAACTAGATTTTTAGACGTTCAGGTTTTTATTCCTAAAACATGGAAACTGCTGAACAAGGATTTTGCCATTAGCCAGAGCAGAGGCCTGAATAGCCAGCTGGAAAATTTAGTATTTTTCTGTTGGATGAAGGGAGCTGTAAAGCCAAAATCAGATGTTTTGTCAAGTGTCTTTACTTCAAGATTGAGTTAACGTTTTAGGTGCCTGCTCATTTTGCTTTACAGTGCCTCTTCCTCCTCCCCTGACGGTTTCATTTGCAAATGTATATTCAGAAAAAGCACACTTTGCCTTTATACGTACTTTTTCTTACATTATCAAAAACACAATTCTTCCACCCTACACCACCTCCCCAAAACAAGATGGTCTCCTGGTTTAGTTCCTGCTGTGGCAGCTTAAGGGTGTCTACCCAATAAAGATGTGCTAACTAAAAAAAGCAATGGAGGGCTTTTATCAGAAAATAGTTTAAAAAAATAATAAAAAACCCAACTCATTTCTGCCTGGCGCATTTCCCCTTCCCCACACCCCCTAATATAGTTATGTCTTGACATATTCAGCAAATGTCAACTAACCCTTCCAATGAAAGGGGAAGCAACTAGTAACTGGCTCAGATACAGTTAATTACCCATATAATACCATATTGCATAAAAAAGGTTAACCGGGGTGGCCAAAACATAAATATGTTTATACAGTCTATAGTAAAGTATTCTACCTGGCAATAAAGTCAGGCATAGGAAGGAGCTAGTCTACAATATAGCAGCCAGGCATACCGACAGCAGCTTTCATCGGATTGCTCTCATGGCCATAAGAGCAAAGCAAGGACCCACGTTTTTGCACCACAACTAGATTGTAGGTAAAGAACTCAGTAGTTGGGGGGGAAGAAATTAACATGGAATGGCTAATCAAGCGCAGGACGTCTGCCACAACTGCAAGCTAGAACCTCTTTTGACAGGTTGGTCCTCGCACTGCAGTAGAACTTATGCAAGTAACTGACCAAGTTAATGAGAGTGTGATAGTTGTATCAACTTTGTTACAATAAAAAGCTTTAGCTCTGAGGTTGTTCCCCTGATTAATAGATTCACTTCCTAATCTAACTGAAACATACTTAGTTTCCTTTCACTTCATATCTTTGTGTGATGCTGATCCAATAACACTGTGTTCCAGTTCTGTAGCACCGTTCATTAAAAGGTCTCAAACATTTCTTGAACATTAGGTCTCCCAGCATCCATATGATGATGAGGCTTAGGAAACATCTAATCTCAGTCTCTCCTTCAAGGACCAATACATAGCAGGGCCGGTTAGCTGTTTAGATACAAGGATCCTTATAAAGGAAGCATTTAAAGCGTTAGCACAAGTGTTAAATTATGAATTAATCATGGAAACTTACTGGGTGTTGTACACATGACAGGAATGTGTAAAATACATCCCTTAAGGGTTCTTAAGAAAAACAAATAGAGAAAGGGAGGCACGGCTGTCCAATTCAAAGAGATACCTGGCAGGAGTCTCAGCAGAAAAGCACATTCACTAATAATATCAGAAGATAGACAAAGTGTTTGGTAAGAGTTACAGAGAAATGCACTCCCTTCCAACACAGAAGTCAATAGTGGGATGAGCAAATGTTTTAGTCCTTCAATTAAAATAAGCTTGAAGATGCGAACTGAATTTCCATTTGGTAGCTGAAGAATTTCCTTGTTCCTCCATTAGCAATTCTCCTCCGGATATTCACACCCTGCAGAGCTTCAGTGGGAAATTCTCTGTGACGAGGTGATCATCATGCAGGAGGACAACAATGTTAACTTCAAACTCTAGGGAAAAAGAGAGCTCTCGTATTAGGTCAAATGGTACAGTAGAAACAATGATAATTCTGTGGCTCCTGCTCTCAGCGGCCTTCACCGGAGATAAATCTTTCAAGCTGTTTTTAGTGTTTAGGGTTATCTGTTGCTAGATGATTCAACACTGCAGAAAACAACAGGGCACTATAAAATGACCAACTTCTCCAGCCTATTTGTCAGCATAAGTAGCTCCATAAAATATATGATTAATTGCATTAGTGGTAGCCACCTGTCTAGCCATAATTAGCTAGTAATTTACTGTTGGCATCATAGTAAGAAGTAGATCTTGAGGAGTAATTTGAAGGGGTTTAGGGTAGTAGTTCTCCAAATAAATCCATAGGAGGGCATTGCACATATAAGAGAAGCACAAAAATGGATGATCAAAGTTGTTGAAACAGAGGAAATGTAATTGGAGATGATACTAAGATACAAAGGTACATAAGTAGGGAGGAGCTAAATTGTGGAGGGTGCTAAACGCAAGCACAAAAAGCTTATGTAGTGGAAAAGGAGAAGCGATATAGGGGATAGATTCAAAAGAAGAAAACTTGGCTAGAACTATGGATTACGAAGATGATTTTAGCAGAAACGTTTCAAATGTCCATAAATGGAATATTTGATGAGGATGTCAGGAAGGAGGGAGGCAACTGTAATATTCAGGAGGGGAAATAAGAGCCTAGACAAGAGTTTTTGTGGTGTGCATCGATGAAGAAACAATCTTAGCAACACTATGGAAGAAGAAGTTGACAGATTTGGATATGGCCTGGCTGCGAGTCAATAGAGTGGAGTCACAGACAACCCCCAACTTCCAGGCCTGAGTGACTGGGAGAATGGTGGGTGTGTCAGTGATGACAGAAAGGGATAATGGAAGGAAAGCATCACTTTTCAGCATTTTACCCTCAGAATTTCCTGCTGCTCTTGAGAGCTGTGAGTGTTCAGCATATTTAATCCCTACCGGATCTTTGCCATTAAAACTGCGTCTCCCAGAGAATTTTTCTGGTCACAACTAGTTTAGTTCTAGTTTAGACCACTTACGTACGAAACCACTAAGAGTAAGACAACAACAATATATGCTAGATCGAGAACTTAGTTCTGAATGGAGAAGGTTATAGCTAAAGGAATGGTATAGAGGTTTTTAATGAGACAAATTGCTTGGTATATTTAGTATTCCCTAAAGCTAGTGGCCTGACAGGCTTGGAGCCTGAGTCCTCTTTATCCACAACAGGTACAGTTCAAAGAACAGTAGTGCTGATTTCCCCACACTGCTCTGGTAATATACTTCAACCCTGGTATAGGACCACCTCTGTTGGTAAGAAGGTTTCCTTGGTCTCCCTTGCAAAGCTGCTCATTAGTGTCAGTGGTGGTAGTTTGTATTGTGGCCCCTTGCCCACTAGAAACCAAACTGAAACTAGCAGCTTGTTTCACATTGATTCCGAAGGTACCAATATTTCAAAAATAGCTGGGTCCTTACCAACTTTGAAATTTGTAGTTTCCAACGTAGGGCAAGTGAACAGCCTGGGGAATACCATGTATATTGGAACAGACAAACTTCTGCAGACATCCCCATCAGCAATCTGAATATTCTGAATCTCTGTAGCATCTCTAGCATAACCTTCAGCACAACCTGGAGAAAACAAGTATTGGGGTGAACAAAAAAAAGTAGCACTAATTCTACTAGAAAGTTACTGAACATAGTTCAAAGGCTGGAGGCATTAGCCAAAAACCAAACACCCTTCCTTTTACCCATTAGAGCTTTGACTTTACCACTGTTTAACAATTACATCTATACACCCTAAAAAAAGATACTTTTGATACACAAAAAGTAACTTTTGCAAATGATTTCTACTACTGCTTTAGACAAGTGTGCTATGTCCATTTAGAATATAAATATTCAGATAACCAGTGTGGTATATTCAGATTTTAATTTACATGAAACAACCTACCACAGGTTTCCACACGTACTAACTGTAGTTCAATACTTTTGACTGCAGCTTCTGCATTCTCCACCACCAACTCCCCAATTAGTGGTTGTGTAATGATGCAGTTAGTCGAGTTGAGATGACCTTTGATGAGAAATTTTGGGAGCGAGGCTCTCTAAATGTAGAGTGGGAAAAAAAGTCACATGACTAATCACAAAAAGCACAGAGAATGCTAAGTAGGCAAAACCTTGCTTTGTGGAAAAAAGCAGCATAAGAATTACTGAAGTACATAAAAACCCTACATTAAAAGATTATTAAGGTTGGAAAGTCAGGACCCTTAAAAGTTAGAAAATGCCAGGATCAAGCTTGCCTGTGCAATGTTAATGGAGCCCCCTTGAGTGTAAGCATTGTGATACAGTCTTTAATTACATGGTAACATTTTTTTCCCCCACTAGGTCCCTGCACAGGATGGACTGTGGATGAATCAGGATCTTGAGTGAAGGAGGCCGTTGCTTGTAGGACACCTGATTTATCTTTTGTGGCAGTTGGAAGGTGTTTAGTGAATGAGGCAGGGGATTGTAGGGAGAGAAAGGAGGGTCTCAGGGTTAAGGCAGTGAATGCTGCCCTGAGAACTGGACTCTATCGCTGCCTCTATCACCATATAGCTATGTGACACTGGGCAAGTCATTTAAGCCAAAAGTGATTGTGTGTTCCTCATTTTCTGGTGCTCAGCTTGAGATGCTGGGGTCTGATTTACAGAAGTGCTGAGCACTCACAGCTTCATCTGAAGTCAATGGGAGCTCTTGGCTACCATATTCCACTGACTTGGTTGGTTCCCAGTGAGGGGGAAATAAAAAAATAACGCGTAACCATTACTGAGGAAAGCTCTGTTAACAATACAGCATCAACACAAAAGAACAAGTGACAGTGCTGTCCATTAAACATGTTGCTCAGCATGTCAGGAATCAAAACTGGCAAAAGAGGAGAGGAAGAACTATGACTAGCTGTGGAGCAGAATCTAATAGTAGCCACTGATCTCACTCCTCACACCAATTCACACTGGAGACAAGAGAGTCACTCAACACCATTTAAAGCATTTTTTAAAACAAAAGGTTTACCTCTTTAACATTCTGTAAGGTTTCAGGTGTAATTGTGAAGTCCACTGGGCTTGGCATCAACTTCCCTTTCTGAGGCTGGAATGAAATGAAAAGGTAGGATCGATATTGGACACTCAGTATATAGAGTTTACATAATGTACACACATCGAATCATGAAAAGAATCCCTTTTCATATGCCATTACTTGCAAGACCAGTTTAGAAGCTGACCTTATCACTTTACAATGTCTAACTTTGAAATAGTCTTTAGAGAACTAAGTGTAATTCTTTTAATAAGAAATTGACCCATTTCATGTAAAGTCTATTGGACGTTGCAAGAAAACAGGACATGATTATGACATGGAACAAACACAAGTCACCACGTTTTACAAAATAACCACATTTTGACATTCTAAACTATCCTTGCCATTACTGTAAAACCATGACACGATATGAACTACTAGGCTACTGGTGCCTGCCCTGAGCATGCTGTGTTGTGAGTCACAAGGTTGAAGTACTCTAAACCAATAGCCAACTAATGCACACCTTGCCATGCTGTTAAAGTAGGGCTCTTGATTTTACATATCAGTGCTGGCTTTTTTTAAAAAGTTTTGTGAGGTCTGATGCAATGTGTCCTTCCAGTATTACTCAGCCTTCCTAGTAAGGAGATTTGAGAAAATAGTAGGGAAAGTTATATATGCACTTCCTCTATTATCCTGAGCATATTGATTGTTTTTCTAACCCTCTCTATCTGAAGTTCCCTACCTGCACTATTTCAACTCCCTAACTCCGCCCAGCGAGAGCTCTTTTAGAAGCAGGTTATGGCCCAGTAGCTGTTTTTAACTTACTGGGTCAGATCCTCAGCTGGTGTAATTCAGTGTTGTTCCTCTGATTTTGCCAGCTGAGGACCTATGTTTTTTTTTTTTTTTAAATATATATTTGGAATATTTAACAACCTCCTACTTTAGGTTTTACTGTAGAAAGTAAGTTTAAAGTGACTTAAAAGGCCCTGAATTGCTGCTGAAATGGCAGTCTGACACTTTGTGCAGAAAGGAAAACATAACTGTCATTTTAAATCTTCAGTAACTGCCTCTCTTCACCCTCATCCCAATGAGGTGCCTTATGTTTGTTCAGCTCCATTCACATTTCAGCAAAGCTTCCATTTAAAATAAGTGTAAGGATTTGTTGTGTGCCAATCAGTGATGAGGGTCCCAGCTGTGCACTGTTGGGAGTTGGTGCAGTATTGTATCATCATCAGAAGGCCCAACTTGAATTTTGCAGTTGTTTTACTCTCCATTACTTTGAGTCCATAGTAGTTTGTGTACAACAGCAAAACTGGGAAACTGCCAGCCATAAATAAATACATATTTTCAGTAATGGGAAAATACAGTTGACGAATTCTGGCAAAGGAAATAAGGTTAAGGGAAATAATATTGTGTACTGACAGTGAGAATTTTATGTACAGTAGAACCTAATTAATTCACACTGACTGGGAATTACTGAATTTTGTGAACTAATGAGTGCTATACTATGAACAAGAAATAAAGCAAGGATACTGCGTAATATGTAAGCTGCTCATTATTTTGATAACTGTGGTTTATTTATAATACTTCATAATGTACTAGTAAATGTAGCATAGTATAATTTTTCATTTTACAAAATGTAGGAACAAGATCTCTACAGTGTCTTGCTATTAAATCTTTGCTGATAGGAGCAATTTTTGTGCAGGTTATTGAAGTTCTACTGTATTCATTTTCATCACTGATGACGAGGGGAACAAAACATCTTTAAGTATATTAGAGCTCTTCTTAAAGAGCTCTTTACAGGAGTTAAGCATCATGTGTGTTCTAACAAGTTTTGGGTGGAAGCAAATGTATTTTGCTTGTTAAATTTGTGCAGATTATATTGCTTATACATGTGCTCTGCACACATCTATAATCAATAGATATCACAGTTGCACCCATTTTCATGATGAAAGGCAAAACATGTTCATGCCATACAGCTAAAAATGTGGGCCCTGATTCTGCAATAAATTTCACACAGGTGCAAGGGTCCACTTGCACAGAACTAACTGCAGAATCAAGGCATTAGTTACAATAGTCATTTCTGAGCCTACCACTATCTGTGAACAACTTGATGAGAACAACTCGTTTAGGACACCAGCTTTATGTGGTCCCTGTAGATATGTCTACATTTCAATTAAGAACTAATGGCTGGCTGGAGTAGACATTCGGCTCTGGGACCCCCCAGAGTTTGAGCTCCAGCCCAAGCATCTACACTGCAATTAAACAGCCCTTTACCCCGAGCCCAAGTCAGCTGACACAAACCAGCTACAGGTGTCTAACTGCAGTGTAGTCAGACTCTAAGAGGCTGTAAACTTGTCTCCAACTTGATGCAGGCCTATTTCCACACCTAGAGTAAGGGACCCAAATCAATAATTTAGGCATTTGAATACAAGAGGCTTGATATCTTCCCTCCACAGATGCTGAGCACCCAAAGCTCTCAACCTCCAATGGGAGCTCAGGATGCTTAGCACCTGGGGGAGGGAGCATGAGAGAGAGAGATCAGGTCATCCAAAAGATACAGTACTTATGGGAGCACACATCACCACAGTATCTAGATACTGAGTAGAACAGTATGTATCTAGGAGATGAACCGAACAAGCAGGGAGAGAGAAGGGGAGGACTGAGTGAGGAAACAGGAGGTTTTCACAACAAAGCAAGCTCATCATCCAAAACATATTTATGTCAGTTAGAAGAGTAAGTTTAAAAGAAGTTAAGGTGAAAAGGTTATCTAAAGTATAGCACAATGAGATCCTAGTTCATGTCTCGGCTGCTAGGTGCCACAGTAATACAAATAGTAACACAAATGCTTGAAACCTGAATATTGCTAACTTCAAAACATAGAAGAAAGCATGACACCAACCTTCCCTCCCTTCCCCCACCCCGCCCCTTAGGTCTTATGCCTTGTTAATATAGGAGGACACATACAAGTTACACCATTACATCTTGTGAACATCACCATAGAAGACTGGGCACCAAACTTTGCTAAACAGAACAAAACTGCAGAGGTGAAAATCTCAGCTAGTTGAGAGAGTTAAATATCTCTATATTCCAACTTACTGGTGAGTGGACAATGAATTCACAAGTCTTAGTCAGGTCCTTGGCCAGTAGAGATCGTCGCATATCACACCGAAGGGTATACTGTGAGAAAGAGTGGGGGATAGAAGAGTCTTATCAAAGCTTTCTTCCATCTCCAGCATGGACTTAGAGAGAAATCATTCTATAAACACAAAGTCTCACTGGCTATTTATATTAACATTCCATTTATAAGTAGTTTAATAAAAGGTCAGTAGACTACTTATATATTCTTCAATAAATTGTTAATCAATGGTTATAGAGTGTTGAAGAGTCCAACAGGTTGTTTATAACCATCAATATCAATGTAATACTCATGTATCTAACAACCCTATAACATCTATTAATCATTTATCAGTTCTTTATAAACTGTTGAATATCTGTACAGCAATAATGCTCTCAATTAGCAATCAGGACCAGGCCTGATTGCTCTCAATGCTGATCACATAATAGAAAGATATGTTCCCTACCCAGAACACTTTGCAATGCCCACCCTTCAATTCCCTTTCCTGATCTCCTTGGGGGATGAAATCCACCAATTGAAAATCACTGATCTAAGGTACCTGTCTGAGCCCAGTACAATCCAAGCACCTCATCATCTTTAGCGTTTTTTATCCTCACAACACCCCTGTAAGGTACGGAAGTAGCATTTTCCAGGTGGGGAACTAAAGCACAGAGATTGTAAGTGCCAAGGTCACATAAGAACTCTGTAGCAGAGCAGAGAATTGAACCCTCATCTCTCAAATCCCTAACCACTGCAAGAACTCAGGTCATCTTTTGAAATTGTATGAAATTAAAAAAAAAAAAAATCTTTGATGGATGTTTCTGCTAATGACATCTTGGATTATTCTAAACGAGAATTAAAAAAATTATATACTGTTCACAATTTATGTTTACCTTACCTCTCAATTTGGACAATAAAAACATTTTAACCACTTCACTTTTTGGCTTTATAAATTGTTTTCATTTGATTTTTTTTATTTAAACTACTGAAACACTTTTAAGCAGCACATAGCTTCTTACCCAAAGCCTAAACATTGGATCAAATCTCCCCTGCACATCCATTTTAACAGATATTAATATGTTCTATACAAAAACTGTTCTTGGAAGTCAGATTTCACTTTATTTCTGGGGTGGTACAGCAGTGCAGGAAACAATAACTCTGAAAGGTGGTGAAAAGCTAAGGAAAGGCCTGATCTGGACCTTTTTATTAAGTTTTATTTTGGACCGGGAGGGGGAATGGGTAACTGAGTAGGAGATAGGATAGGAGATAGGTGATAGGAGAATGGCCAAAGGTAACATATATACCAATAAAATCATACCTTACAAGACAATCCATAATGATTATAAACAAAATATCTGGATTACAGAAAGCAACTCAACTTGTAGGCTGGTATTGTTTTGCAAAAGACGTGCCAGACAACAGATGTTATATTAGGAAGAAAGCCAAGGCGAGGACTAGGTAAAGGAAACACCAACGTTAAGAAAAGGAAGCCTTTCACCATAAGCGCTGTCAATAGGATATAAAATTTAGAAACAAACTAGCCATATGCAAAGGTATATAGTTTAAGTAAATATCATCAAAGTCTACTGTTGACTGGCATGACTAACAATTACACATGCTTTTTCTTTTTTGAAGGGTAGAGGGACGTACTGTGAAGAAGCCCAGAGTAAATGTAGGGAATTCAGAGACTTAAGTTCAATATGAGAGAACTGATTTAGATAATCTGTAGAAAAAGGAATTTTTCTCCTCTTTTAAAAAGAAAACAAACTGATAGCTCACCCATAATGCCAATCTGTAAATACATTAATTTGTTTTTAAAATATCAGGTATTTTCCTTTATCCCTATCAGTAACAGGACAATTAAATAATAATTAAATAATTTCAGAGGATAAGTTCCTCAGCTCTGCAAAGCACAGAGAGCAAACAGGTCTCTACATCGCTGTTTCTGGTTGGGAGAAAGGATAAACTCCTTTTACAGCTGCTTTCTCAATATAAATGAACCTTTGGCAAAGTTAGTATTGAAAATGGAGTAATGACTCTTCAGACAGGGTATTTCAAGCAGAAGAGGGAAGGATGATCACTGCTTGGCTATGTTGAAAAGTCTGATGTACAAGATCACACTGTTTGCTCTGCAAAAGGGGAAAATATCTAAAATATGCATGTGCATGCATAAGACAGACTAGAATGAGTTTTATTCTGGCAATATAGTTGCTTATCATATTTCTATCCAAAGCTTTTTACGAATAGGTGTTGTCTCATGACATAAGTCTCTTGTCTGTTTTTTCTGGTAACTAACTCTTGAATTTAAAATGCTTAATGAAAGATTTAGTATCCTACTGCCAGGAAGTTAGAAAAACAAATTACAAAAAAACAGAATACTACCTTAAAGCAGCTGCTGCAGCTGAATGAGAAGCTATTTGCATGAACATACAACAGGATTCATAATGAACAGATACACCAATTATACTTATGATGGAAAATCCTGATAATATGCATGATCATAACAGTAGAAATAACATGATGGAAAAGAGATAATAGTCTGCTGAGTCAAATGACCTTTCAGCTTTTATCAATAAGTGCATAAAAAGAGTCAGAAAAAGAACTGGGAAGATTCTTTCAGATACCTGGGATCAACAGAAGAGTCTGTGTGAAAAATAATTTAAGTACCACAAGCATGCTCAGTGCTCAACACCTTCTCCCACCCCTCAAGAAAAATATGGGTCATGCCTGAAGAAGTTTAAAATAGGAGGCCAGATATTGCTCCCATTGAAGTCAGTGGACAATATGCCCATTAACTTAACTGAATCCAGGATTTGGGCCAAAAATTAGAGATGAAAGAGATGTGACTTGGTCACTCCTAGTATATCCCCTTGCCAAAGCAGAACTGTTCCCTTTCTATATTTTTTAGTGTTTTTCCCAGTCTAGTTTTAAGTGATTCAATAATTCAAGCAATTGTGCTTCCTTCCTTTACTTGACACTTTAGCAGACATCACTGTTAAGAAGTTATTCCCTGATATTAAAAATCTCTTTACTCTTAAATTGTATTCCTTGGATAATTCTAAACAGTACCTCCCCTTCCTTGATACTTACACCCTACAATTAATTGCAGACTTCTGTCTTGCCTTATTTGTAGTTTACCCAACTGCACTCTTGGCCTGCAAACCTGCAGGCGAGTCCATGTGGGTGGATACTTATGCCTGTATGGATGCTCCTTGGAGTCAATGGAACTCTGCCCATATGGATCTAGCTGCAGGATTGAGAGCATAAGGTATCTCCCCCCACCTAAAAATTTACTTCAAAGCCAGTCCCTTTGTCTCTAGTTTTTGTTACAATCATAACCATCTTTTAATGGACCAAGGTGCCCATTATGGAATGCAGTATTCTAGCGGTTGTCTCATCAGTACTTTATAGGTTGGAATTAAACCTGTCTTATCTGGGACATGGTATCTGTGTATGCAGCATTTTATAGTTATACTCTGAATATTCTTGAAATTACTTTTGACATCTCAACAGGTTGATAAAATACACTTTCATCAAGAGTGTTCTGTGCAAGTCCGGTTCAGTTATAAAAAGTAAGTTTTTATTAGTTTATTTTGTACTATATACTCACAGCAATGGCTGGGGGGGGGGCAGATGTGAAGATTTTGGTGATTCTTTACTAGTACTCTACTGCAAAGCATCTCTCTGAAGGTAATTTGTTTTAATGGATTCCTCTGAGCTTTATCTTGATAAACATAAAATTTCTCGGAGGGGAGGGGGGGGGGGGGAAGTCTCCCACTAGTACAAAAAAATATATATGTTCAAGACCAGATTTTCAAAATGCCTCCTTACATCACATTAACCAGAGGAAAACTTTTCAGTCAGAAACCCCCCCACCTAATATTAATGCAACATTATGGTAAAAACATTTAATACAAAAATCAAAAGATTCAAAGCTGTACTTCCCACAGTAACTGTCTGCCTAAATGTGTATACAATGTGGTAGCTAATCTGTTGCTATATAAAGTCATAGGAAATATGCACAAGCAAAGAGGTTTGGTTTCTAAGGGACCACAGCTTTCAATTTTGTGGCTTGTATGTGTAAAACTCAGCTGTGATATTACATGGCCATACTTCTACTTGGCACTAAAGGTAACAGAGGTGCAGCCCTTATTCATGAACCAAATTCATGTCATTCACCACTCCTTATACTATAAAAGTAATTATAGATTACAATTAACTGATGGATTATTAAGTCCTCCTGTAATAGTCTGCATACACCCTTCTCCTCCTCCTCTTCTTCTTCTTGTAAGATTTACTCAATAAGATGTAATGCAGAAATATTTTTCTGTCCCCTTTCATTTCAGACAAGTTACCAAGATTCATAAGAGACTTCTCCTCAAAAAAAGAAATTAGGAAAAACTGTACCTGACCCTGGGAAAGAAAGGAGAGAGACTGCATCATCTTATGTAGCAAGCTGCCACCAAATCAGGAATGGATGTTGGTGACATATGAGCATAGGATATCAGATTCCAAAACAGCGTGTAGCCCTGTCCTGAGTGAATTTGTACTCCTCTCTAACAGATAAGTGAGGGGTCAATCTGTTTTGGTATTTTTAAAAAAAGTATCTTGGCAACACTTGTGTAACTTGTCATGTTCAAGTTTCATCGAAAGACACTTAACTGTAAGCACTTTCTTTTGGGGTATAATACTACAGACAGTGCATAAAATGCAAGATACAAGTTACTACATAATAAAGTAAGAGTTAGAAAATATTATAATGTACACAAAAGAAACTGTCACAGGTGTAGCTACTCCACTGCATTCCCTGCTGGCTGAGCATGGCACTGCAAGCGCTTCCTGCCTCAGTTCACAAGATGTGGCAGCCATTCCAGAGCAGGGCAGCCCATGCCATAAGCTTGTCATCAGTCTTTAAACAGTTAAATTCTGAATTTGGCCGTCTCTGCCATTAAACAAACTAACAAATAAATGTAAGAGGCAAGCACTTGGTCACTTTAAGTCAAGGCCCTGATCTGGACCTGGCGTTCTGGGATAGGACAGAGGAAATGCTCCTCAGTATATCTCACCCAGCACTCCCCTTGTGAGGGAACAGGAAAGCTTTCTTAACTGATCTGCTGGCTCCTGATTGGCCAATGTCTCCTCCTGGCCCTTCTCGGCTTCTGGGGAATCGAGTCTTGCTGGTAGCCTGACTTGAGTGGGTTTTCCTTGAGTTGGGGAGTGATGGAGGTAGTGTCACATTGCTGACACCTCCAGCAGGGAGGAGAGAAGGTCTCACAGACCCCATCCCATAAACTAATAACAGCTCCTACATGAAATGAAGGGACTAAAGAAAGAGTTTTAACTCAGGCAATGTATCTTATTAACCATTAAATGTGTAAAACAGGTATAATACAATATCCTGTGCTAGGATATCACTGTCACACTATACTTCATATTTGAACCTACTGAATGAATCAATCCCTCTTGATTCGAAATTTATAAAATGGCCCTACATTAAAAAAAAAAAACCCAAAATATAGATGTGAAAGGGTGAAGAACAGTATAGATTCCTTCTTTAAGACAAAACTTATTTCAAGCAAAAACAAAACAAAAAACCCCAGTAACTTTGTTTGTTCTTCTTTCTTACATTTCCAAGGCTGTATCTGAGGATCCTTGCAACAGGGGATATAAGTAACACAGAAACCAAAACTCCTACTTAGGAAAAAACAATCCCAAATATTTTGTTTTAAAAGTGCAAGCATAATTTTTAAGCCTATGGAGATTTTATATAATCTCCTGATAATGTTTTGAGATCTTAAAAGGGCTGTTATGCCATGTTTGGAAAGAAATCCAAAGTGTTTCTCTTCACACAGGCCTTCCACTGTCTCTGAAGTACTAAATCCTGGAGACTTAGCTAATGGGACAATTTTTGTTCGGTCTCAACAGCTGCGAGCTGAAAGGAATTGTGAAACTTTTGACTCAATTTAAGCCATGTAAAGTACACCCAAATACCACAATGATGGATGTTTGGGAAATGTTTGAACCAATATATAATCTTTTCCTACTAGAGTTTCAGTAAATTTAAAAAATCCCCCACAGCTGGAACATGAATTTTAATTTAAAGGACCTTTAATTTTTAGTTACTGTACATAAGCATTGCAATAACTTCACAAAATTGACAAAACCAAAAATATTGATAACATACAGTTAGGGTACCACCAGATAGTTTCCTCCCACAGTGCAATTAGAGAAGTTTCTCAGAGTATAGTTCCTGCAGACAGTGCAAGTTCATCACATTTTCCCTACGCAGAAAACTGTCTCACCTGAATATTGACAAACACACCATGATATGTCTCGTATAGAACTTTGTTGCCCTTCGCATGCAATGGAAGCTCAAAAGGAATTTCTGTTTTGCCGCTGGGAAGTTTTCCTGGTTTTACCATTTCTATGGTACTGTTGATAACTTGAATAGGCTGTAAAGATAAACATTGAGAAGTTTAAAATAAAGCAGTCTGCTTCATAACGGCCCAATAACAGAGCCACATGAAACCCTATCAGCCTTTCCAAATATCTCAAAATTCAAGTGTCTGTGTCCCCTACAAACAATTCTTTACAAACTCATACTGTGGTAAAAAAGTGGTCTTACTTAATGTTTCTTACCATGACAGTCTGTACATTTTTTTGCATCCGTGTCAGACTGGTGGCTAAGCCCATTAAGAAGCTAACAAGTAGAACCTAGTACACTTTTGAAAGCAGTACATTTCTTGTTCCATTATCAAAATCACAAACCTTAAACAGCAGGAGTCTGTATGTGTATATGCCAGTTGAGCTGTTAGCTCTTGGAGGGAAGAAGGGCTCCCAAAGGTAAACTATATATTTAACATCAGAATGTTGTTGGAACAATGACAAACTATGGTTTGGCGCTCGACTGGAGAAGCATGCAAAATCTCATGAAATATGCCTCCATCAATTAAAAGACAACAGAGTAGGAACAGCAAAAATAAATAAATAAATAAATAAGATACATGCACTCCCAGAGCAGAGAAATTAGTTTAATATCAAATAGAGCATTGACAAACATTTTATTTTCCCTTGTGATTTTTCATTTTTCTTTTCAAACCATTTTTGTTTTAAATTGCTACAACACCCAATGCAAATAAGACAATGGCCCCCAACTGCTGTTCGAAGATCATTTGTCTAATCAAGCAACTTACATTTGAAGTTAAAAAACTTCAAAAGCTGAAATGGAATTAAAATTTCTATTCTGATTGCTTGAAAATGCTTTGTTGGGGAAAACATGGATCTCCCCTAAGTTTGGAACTATTCAAACCTGGGGTTTTGGCTCATCTCTGCTGACACATGAAGCAGAATAGACTGACGGAGGCTCTCTTTCTTTTCAGAGTAAGTATTTCCCACCTCCTCTCAAAAGTAAACTACCAAGCTGCTTAGGGCTCACATTTGGAAGAGATATTTTATATAACTAAAAACAGGCTTCTCATTGCAGCTTTGCTTGGAGCCCTCACATTCACTCTATTTATAAGAATTCAGTTCTAGAACAGTTTTACTCATTTTCCCCTTGCAGGACTGTGCTTCTCACGCCAGATACAGCTACATGCAAATGGCATGGCACATTACAGCAGTAAATATCCTGACAAAGTTTCTTTAACTCTGTGGTTACTTAGGCTGGGTCTGTCTTAAAACATTTTTCTGCCTCTGAAGCTCACAGTGTAATGCTAGATAATGGCAGTGATTGGGAAAATATTAAACTACCTGCATGCACTGAAGTAAGACACAACCATAAAGAAGTAGAATTACTAAGGAGAGATTTGGTTTAGACACAACTTTTGTATCCAAGAAACCAATCTACGTATTTCTTACCTTAACAGAGTTATAGAAAGCTTCAAACACACCAACGCTTTTGGCACTGAGCTGCAAATTTACTGATCCTTCCATCGTTAAGGAGACACCCTGGTGTTGGACTGCATCTTTGCTTGTTATGACCACCACTCCAGAAAGAACTTCCTAACAAGGAAAAGGTGACAAGTAAAACATATTGATTTTATCAGTTTCTTCTCTTGTTAGAATTCAGACTGCAGTGGCACCCAAAGTATGTTAGGTGATTTCCAAGTGCCAAGGAAGACAGTTCCTGCCTCACAAAACACACAGTCTGAAAAGACATATTGATGGAGAGGAGGCAGGGGAAAAGGATACAAAATACAAGTTAAGTGATCAAGGTGATGGCAAGCAGAAGTCTCTTTAAACTCCACTCCCACCCAATCTGCTTCCAGAATTCAAATCTCTCTTCTTCCCCTTACCCTAACTCAAATTTTGTTCCAGCATCTGTATGCTCCTCCCTCCTAGTCTTCAAAATCTTTCCGCCACATAAATGAGCAATTTACTTATAAATAAATGACATGTGTAAATAGATGGCTTGGTCAGCTAGCTTCTATGGGTGTTGAAGAAGCGGTCCTTCAGAAGGGATTTAAATGAGAGGGGATTGCTCTGCAGACCTGTTCAAGGAAGGTAATAATACATAGCAGCAGGGGAAAAGTATTGTTGTAAAAGAAGTGGACAAACAGGACTTCACAGCTGTTGTTTCAAGTGGAGTGGAGGTGAAGTGAAGAAGGGGGGAGTAGCAACATAAAAAAAAAATGGATAAATTGAAAGGGATAAACCTAGGCAGGATATTGAAGATGATCATAAGAAGTCTGAACTTAATATGGTGAAGTCAGTGGAAGGATCAAAGAAGCAAGGACAGCAGAGTGTTGATCTGGTCAGAATGGTGGGCAAAGTCTTAGCAGATGTATTTTGTATGGACTCCAGGGGCTGATGTGGGTCCTGGGAGCCCGATGAAGAGTAGGTTACAGTAATCAAAGTGGAAAATGATGAGCATGTGAGCTTCAGTTAATGCTGAAGTTGTAATGGTTCAATATGATTGTACTTCACACCAGTTAAGAAATACAGTTACATAATGCTCAGCTGGTAGCTGCCAGGGCATCAGTACTTTTCCCTTAACAGTGGAGAAGTGTCAGTACTAAACAGAAATTGGGTCACAAGTCTGATGTAATAAAGGTTTAGAGAAAGGAATTGCAGTAGCAATTCAGGGATCACAGCATGAGAAGCTGAAGCACAGGAAGCCAGAAGTGGACCTGCAGGAATTAAGAAACGTAGCTATCGTAGGAAGTGCTGGTATAATTGGGCAGTGAAGAAAAACTGATCTAACAGAGTAGAAACACTCAGAAACAGCTGTTTGCTGCTGCTGGCGGGTTTAGTCTGCAGCTGTTTGCATTTGGACGGGATCTCCCTAGCACACGAGTGCTATGGCTCTACCCAGTCATCATAATGCAGCATCAAATATGTCATCTTATTCAGCAACTCTCTCATTACTAGAAAAAAAGAAAAGGAGGACTTGTGGCACTTTAGAGACTAACCAATTTATTTGAGCATAAGCTTTCGTGAGCTACAGCTCACTTCATCGGATGCATTCAGTGGAAAATGAATGCATCCGATGAAGTGAGCTGTAGCTCACGAAAGCTTATGCTCAAATAAATTTGTTAGTCTCTAAAGTGCCACAAGTCCTCCTTTTCTTTTTGCGGATACAGACTTAACACGGCTGCTACTCTGAAACCTCTCATTACTAGGCTGCTCAAGGGCTCACCCAAAAGGTCCCACCCTAGCCTCAGGGAAGTTCACAATCTGCTGAATTCCAGTCTCAGAGGTCCATGACTTTCTGGGACTATTTCTCACTACAAGACTGACTGAAAATTCTTTCTGTCTTTCGCTCCTTGGATTGTTCCCTTTGTCTATAGGGCCTTTATTGACTAAGGAAGCCAGAGCTGCTTGTCTGTTCCTTAGTCCATCCCCCTTTCTCGGTATTTTCCCTGCCAGGAGCTTTCCCCACAAACTAGCAAAGTGATTTTTTGTTCCATCTGCCCTAAAGAGCTCGTTATTCCAGACCAACACCTTGTGGTAACAGGCAGACAGTTTTTATTAGTGTGCAAATCCTTAGCCATACTCTTACTTTCCCCAAATATACCCTGTTATTGGAGCTACTGTTGTTAGATTCAGACTTAGAGGACATTTCATTTCTTTCTTCTCCAAAACACACACTTTTGGGATTTTATTATGGCAAAACACCTTCCTGTCCTCTCTGTCTACTCACACTTCTTGCTGAGTGCTTGTCCTTGCTATGCAAGTCAGCATAGAAAGGGCATTTTCTGTGCTGAAATTCATTTTGTCACTTCACGACTGACTGAGTTCTGGAGCATGTTATTTGCATGCACCAGTACAACTTTGTGTAGAAAAAAATATTTTTTTCTACACAAAAAAATATTTATCAGTGTATTTTTTGCTAGGAGTTACATACTCTTATGCTTGCATTGACACATTAATCTCTAGAAACATATCTGAAAAGGTTCAAATGGTGGCTAAATTAGAATGATGGTTCGGTAACTAAGTTAGTGTCTGAACCGGAACCGAACTGGACACTTAGGAAATACCTATGAACCCAAACCAGAATGGAACCAAAATTTTTAATATTTCAACGCCCTGGTTTCATCTGCCTATCTGATACCTACCCTGTAAGCTTTTTGAAGCAGAGGACTGTCTTTTTTGTTACTTTTTTGTTAGCATGATGATCCTCAATGGGGGATTCTAGGTGTTAAAGGAATATATAAAAATAAATAGATAAAATAAAATAAATAATGGAGCTGTGACCTCCTTTTGAATTGCATAATTGATACATGGTAGCTGCTAATGAAAAAAGGATCATATACTCAGTGTAGGAATTGTTCCAATCATTTTAAGAGTTCCCTTTTTTGAGATGAATTTTGAGGTGTATTTGAGAGAGCAGAAATTGAATGTCACAACACTGGACCAAAGCGAGGGTAGTGCTAAGCACCTGTAACTCCCTTTGAATTCAACATGAAAGGTATCTTTTATGGTTATGCCCAACGTTGCCAAAAAGACAATGAAAAGATTCCAGAAACAAGAGAAATATACAAGAAAAGGAAACTTAAGTAATGAACTTCAGGTCTTCCCAAAAGGAAGTAGGATGTCAAGCAACACTGGTTCACTGGAACCAACTTCAGAATGAAGAGCCCACTCTAGCAAAATAAAACAGCAAATCAAAAAGCTCAGTAAGACATTATTTCTGAACCGTAGCCTATACGAAAACCGTATATATAGTACATTAGTGTAAAAAAACCCAAAGTTTTCACACTTAGATGCTATAATGCCTAGTGCATTAGTGTAACATGCGCAAAGTCTACAGTTAAGATTACCTTACACTTTCACCTATAATCCCCTATTTTCAGTTACTTAGAACTTTAACCATTTAGGCTGAGAATCTCAATGCCAGTTCTCTGCTTCAGGCTGAGATTTTCCAGCCATTTTCAGCAAAAACAGTTCAACCTTGTCTGATAATGAGGTTGGGGAAAATAAGGAGTTTTTCCAATGTTAAAAAAATATTTTCCAACAGTTTCTTTTAGGAGCTTTAGCGCTTTCAGAGTGTTGCACAGGAACTTGATGTTTACCAGGGCAGTGCTCAGGTTAGAACTACTTTTTGCTGTCCCCATGAAAAACCAACCCAGAACTGGAAAAATTAAGATACAGTTTTTAAAAGTCTTTTTGTTTGTTTTTGCAAATGTTCAGTGGAACATGTCTGAGGCTTTCAACTAAAAATCTCTGAACATTCCATCTACATTGAGCATGCCCCAACCCCAAAGATCTTTAATATGCTGGCAACCCTGACATGTCCAAAGGCACAGACTACAACTTCAGAGAGGGGGAGGGCTTAGTAGCAGCTGCTGCCCTTTTCAACTAGGGGAAGGCAAGGGCTAAAGTAAGTGGGACAAGAATTCCCCCACATTTTCCCTCCCTCCACTACTTAGCTGGCATAAGTAGTGCTCCTCTTCCTGTTTCATTCTGCTTTAACCATTGGGGAAAGGTGTGATCAGTACCAGGAAGGAATCATGAGTCTCAGATCTTCCACTGACTGGTGTTAATAATTTGGTGCACTTTACAGCTTTCATAATTGAGCAGGGCCTCATTCCCTTACCTTAGGTGGATACTTGCATGCCTCCTAACAGTGGATAGGTCTACACTGAGATAAAAAAAAACCCACAGCACTGAGTCTCAGAGCCCAGGTCAGTCGACTTGGGCTCACAGGGCTTGGTCTGTGGGTCTACAAACCTGCAGTGTAGACATTCAGAGCTCAGGATGCAGCCTAAACTCAAGACCCTCCTCTTCATCGGGTCTCAGAGCCCAGGCCCCAATCAGAGCCCCAACATCTACACTACAATTTTATAGCCTTTCAGCCCGAGCCCCACAAGCCCAAGTCAGCTGTCCCAGGTCAGCCATGGGTCTTTTATTGCAGCGTAGACATATCCTGAGAGGTAGGACAAAGTTGCTTCTGGCAGAATTGGGAACAGATTCTGAAGGCCAGATTTTGTGCTGCATCGCAGATGGCACAGCACTGAAGTCAGAGCCAGAGGAAGGTGGTGATGGGAGAGGTAGCTTTAAGCTACCTTTATGCTTCTGATAGTCTAGATTGTTCTGAAATCCAGTAATGCCCCCAGAATAAATTAGAGTGATCTCTGGAGCTGTTCCAACTTAAGGCATCCTTATCCAGGTATCTATGGGCATCTCTACAGCCCAAAACTGCCAAAGCATTCTATTCTTCTACCAATCCCTTCCACCTCCAGCATGGCCCTATTCAGATATAAACTTTGCACAGGACGGACTGTGATTGAGGCAGAAGGTTGCAAGAAGAGAAAAGATGTTCCCTTGCATTTAAAACACTGGAATGCGAGGCAAAATAACGGGGTTCTACCAGTGGCTCTGCCGCAGAATTCCTATGCAATACAGAGCAAGTTTATAATAATAGATATGCATAAGGGTGCCCAGTTCAGGTAGCCCAAGGAATCTTCATACTGTCATTTCCTAACTTTGAAGTGCTTGACATTGCAACCTTGTTATTTTAACATAGTTTTTATATATAATTATATTAGTGACAAAAATATGCAGCAAGCTGTAATGGTTAATTAAGGCATTAATATATCTGCCTAAAATCCAAACACAGTTTCAATTGGATTTGGTAATTTGTTTTCCCTATCTTAACTACTGTGTAATATTGCCACCTGCAGTTACATAGCTAGACAGCACCACTTGGGTGCAACATGAGCATTCGTAGGTGAAGGGATTCCTATACAAGTACTGTTTGTGAAAGCATATTTTGGGATTCTTTGGAATGAAAGGTGCTATAAATAAAAGACATTATTACCACTGGCTAATGTCAGCGTAAAGTGTGGTGACAAGTGACTTTCTAAAAAAAGAACAGAAAACCTACACCATGCAAGTAACTCCCATGATTAATTAAAACAGATTTATTTTTAACTTACTGACTATTCCTAGGGATACCTGATCAAAGATGCATACAGTATCTCTAGTACAGCACTCAGCGAACTAAATAGTTCTTTCAACATTGTGTTTTCAGATCATTCTGCTCTCCTGTCTAGTCAGTGTACTAAAGGTAACTTTGTTGAATACATTTCCTTTAATCTCTTTAAAGTGGCAACATACAAACACAGCCAGACCCTTAATTTAAAAAAACCAAAAAAAAAAAACCCGATTTGTTCTTTATAAGCAAGAGGGAATCCCTAGCTCAGTGGTTTGAGCATTAGCCTGCTAAACCCAGAGTTGTGAGTTCAATCCTTGAGGGGGCCATGTAGGGATCTGGGGCAAAAATTGGAGATTGGTCCTCCTTTAAAGCAGGGGGTTGGACTAGATGACCTCTTGAGGTCCCTTCCAACCCTAATATTCTATTATAATGATTTAAATGCAATTACTGACTGCTTCAGCTAAAACTGATCAGCAATGAAACATCAAGTAAGCATTCTTAACTGTTTTTGGTTCAATGTAGCTGCAGAGACTAAGACTAAGTGCGGTCAATGGTTCTGGACTGGAGAACCCTCACCTCAAATTAGTCACCAGTGTCCCTGCACAAAAAAAGGAAATACACTACCCCGAATAACAAAAGCCACATTTACATTCCATGCTCCCTGTCACAACCTTCAACAAAGCTGTTACTTGTTTTCCAATTCAAAAGTCTGTGGTATATAAAAAAAAATTAAGTTTGGGGACAGCATAAACATAAATATAATTTAATATCAAAATAATTGACAGTAGGTCAGCGAGTCTGAGGGGACTGTGGGAGGGGAATAACCGAGTGTATAAATCGGAGGTCTGATGTGCCATGTAAACTGCAAGGTTTCAGAGGGTCATCTTTCCGAAAAGATCAGTATAATGCAGGATTTCCACATAGGCACCTGTTCATTTTGCAACAGATAAAAGGTGGGATAGGCTAGAAGGGTGGAAGTTTGTTATTTAAGACATCGCAAGAGAGCAAAACCATTCCATTTTCCGCGGGCGGGCGGCCGGGCGGGGGGAAGCGGAAATCAGAAGGCAGGTGCTCCGTCATCCGTTACTTGCCCGATGGCTGGTAAGACGCCGGGAAGGTACAGGACCAGTCCCCTCTACCGGCGAGGGACAGGCAGGCGGCGCCCCAGACCCGCGGCCAGGCAGCGCCGGGAACCCGGCCCCGCAGGCGGCCAGGGAGAGAGGAGCTGGGCGGGCGCAGCGCGGGCTTGCATCAAGCCGGGGAGGGGGGGACCCCAGCTGGGCCGGGCGAGGCGTTTTGATTCCGGCCCCGGCCCGCGCTTCACCCTGGGGCTGGAGCAGGGGCGGGAGGCGCCAGAGACCCGCAGCCCCGCCCCGGGGCTCCGCGACCCCCGGCCTCCTCGGGACTCGACGGTTACCCAGGCGGACAACGGGCGTCCCGCCGCCAGGCTCCGCGGCCCCCCCTCCGGAGCCAGCGCAGGCAGCGGCAGCGCGCCGGGCCCCGCACTCACCCCGCAGAGATAGACCTTGTTGGCCCGTTTGAGCTTGATGTCCAGAGCGGCCCCCATCGCTCCGCTTCCCAGCCCCGCCCCCTGCCCGTCCAGTCACGTGACCGCCCACGTGCTCCGGGCGCGGGACTCCTGGCTTGTGTCCTCCCACCCTGTGGGGCGCGCCATTTACATCCGGGTCATCAGCGCCCCCCCCCCCTCGCGCCCCACGCCATTTGTAGCCCTAGCTAATCGCATCCTTATACAACATGGCTCTGCCCGTTCCCTGGTAGTCATAGCAACGGTGGAATTAGCCGCGGCGGGACCCTCGTCCTCTGTTCCCTACGTCACAAGGGGGGCGGAGACGAGCAGGCGTCTACCAGACGGCGGACTACAGTTACCAGCATGCAGCGCGGCCCGAGGGGACTGAAACCTTCAGCGTGTCACCCTAAGCCGCAGCGGTGCATGCTGGGAGCTGTAGTGTTGGGGCCGCGTTGCGAGCCCGGTGGTGGTGGGGCTAGGTCAGCCTGGGCTGGCTGCGCAGAGGCCGGGCCCGGGCGCTCGTCTACGGAGTCGGACGCAGGGTGGGGCCTGTCCTTGTTGGCGGGGGAGGCGTCGGGGCCCGGGTCTGGGCCCTGCTGCTGAGGGAGTCGCGGGCGGCTGCGAAGCCTGGGGCGGGGGTGGCCTGGAACCGCTGCGGCCCCCCGGGAGGGAAGAGATCAGGGGGACGTAGCAGAGGCGGCCGCGTCTTCCTCCGGCCCTGCGGAAACCCGCCCGAGGCCGCGGCTTCGTTCAGCCTGTCCCTGAAAGCGGGGCCCGCCTGCCCTGCCCCGCCCCGAGCAGCGCCGGCGCCCGCTGGGCTCGGCGGAGTTGCCTCGGGCCGGGGGGGAGCGCGGCCGCGCAGGCGGGTGTTTGGCTACGAGGTGCCCTGTGCTCAGGCTACAAGGCCAGGTGCACAGTCGCTGCCTGCGGCTTAACTGCGGGGCGAGTGTTTTTCTCACGTGAGGCTTTGCTGTGCTGTAGAAGAGAAGCTCAACTCGACAAGTCGGTGGAAAGGAGACAGCAGGCCCCTTCCATGTCTGCTCAGTTGTGGTCAAATATTTTGACCATTTTCTCTTTTGCCTTTGCACTTGACTGTCTCATGCATCAACTCGCCTTTCAGGGCTGCGTCAGAAGGATAAATCTGGGCTCTTGAGTCTGGTGGATGGGGGGAATTAGACACAGGAATCCTTAACATATATATATATATATATTTTATGTAGTCTTAAAGTTTGTTAATGCTTTATATTTAAAAGTATAAAATAAATACTGCACATTGCACTTAGCACATTTTGCCTATCTCAAAACTATTTACTACTTTAATGCATTTAACTTCACAATATTCTGTGAAGTGTGGGATGTGTTATCCCTGTCTTCTTACAAATAAACGGAGGCAAAGAGATTAAATACCTGATCCAGCAGGTTTTCAGTGCCATCTGTGTGGTACTGAGAAACCTCCATTGCTTCCCTGGGAGCAGAAGGTAGTCACCAGCTCGGGAGGCACTCAGCATCTTGCAGAATCAAACCCAGAGGCTACGTCCACACTACAGACCGTACAGTGGTACAGCTTTACTGCTGCAGGTGTGCCTCTGCAAGGTTTCCTGTGTAGCTGCTTTATGACGGAGAGAGCTCTCCCACTGGCATAATTAAACCACCCCCAATGAGCGGCAGTAGTTATGTAAATGGGAGTTGCTCTCCCACCGACATAGTGCTGTTCACACAGGCGCTTTTGTCGGTGAAACTCATGTTGGTCAGTGGTGGGGGGTTTTCCCCTCATGCCCTGACCAACAAAAGTTTTGTTGACAAAACTGCTAGCGTAGACAAAAGGCTAAGTGTAAAATCCCTAATTGATCAGAATGTGCCCTTAAATGTCTTACCAAAGTCTCCCAGGAAATCTGTACCTGTACTGAAGTACAATAGAACACAGGTCTCCTGAGTCTCAATTCTGAACCTTAACTGTTGTTCTTCCTCCCAGGCAAAACATATTTGTTGAACATTTAGTTGAAATATTACAAGCACAAATCTCATGATGATTCACAGACCAACTGTAACCAGGTCCAATTGCATTTTAAATGGTGATAGGTTTTCTGCCTTAAAACATATATGTGTAATGTGCTCAAGTTGTGTGGAAGAAATTAAACTCTGCATTTTCCAACTTGTGTGTCTGTTGCATCAACATTTTTAATTTACTTTAGAAAGGTGTACATTATACTTATTTCAGCCATTTCTTTCTAATTCAGAAAAAGTAATTTATACCTTATTGTGAATTACATACATGTTGATTTAGAGCTTTTATGAAGAATCCATCTTTTGGTTATCCAAATCTCACTCTAAGAAAATTATTATTCTTATATAAACATTTTTTTCCTACTTTCATATTAAATGCCTCCTTGATCATAATTATAGTGTTATGGTAACTAATATATTAAATGACAATGTAAACAATGGGGCAGATATTTAAAATTAATGAGGGGAACAGTGAAGTAGTATTAACTTTAAACTTGGTGCTTGCTACAGACAGCCAAGTGCATTATAAGCTGAGTACATCTCATGAACAGGTGAAGCAAGTGTTTCTGATGACAATTTTGGGATCATAATGTATTTGTCACAAAGTGTACTGGTCTTACATTTAAATGTTTTCTTTACCTTAAATGCCATAGAAAAAGAAAAGTTAAGCAGGGATAGGAGGTGGCTTGATAGGCTGATAAATTGTGCGGTTTAGCTTGAATGTGTCTCATAGATGTTGGCTCATCTGTAACAGATTTTGGAGAGGTTTATCCAATCTTCCACCATATGATACCTTTCATGTGCTTCGGCTGTTTGCTTTGCTAATCAACCAGTTATTTCAGGTCCCTGTCCAGAAAAATGTCTCCATAATTTGGTCCTATGGAATTTTTGTGTGGTAGCTTTTTTTTTTTTTTTTAAAGTATTCCTAATCTAATAACTCTCTGGAATGTTTCTCTGCCTAAAAAATCTGTGGGTGACCCAATTTGGATGGTCTCAGGGGACTGTTATTTAGGCGCACAATGGGCTCTTGAAGTTCTAGTGCTTAAGGCATGTTTGCTGACTGCAGGTGGGAAACAAATTTTAATATTTCTTCATTTATAATAGATTAGACAAACAAGTCTGTAAAATGATAGAAAGAATGAACTTTTCAAGAACTTCAAAATCTTGTGTATTTTAATTGTATTGCCTAGTATAAGCAACTTTTTCTCTTCAAAAGCGTTGTGTAGATATTTTGAAATAATTCTAGAAATAAATTGTCCTCAGAATCTCAGAGCTAAACAGCATTAAGCTACTGTCCATGTTGGAAATATTGGACCCTAGCAACAGCTTGCAGTGACATCATTTGTGGGGCAAGAACAGTGCCTCCAGCAGTGATGGGAGAGTGCACACCTAAGTAGCATATACTATAGCATTTTACATGAAGCAATGTGTGCCACACCAAATCCACATCTAGTTCCACTGACTGGTGTGGAGGGAGGCTGGACTTCTCCAAAGAAATTACACATATCAAACACAGGAATGGTGTGGTACCACTAGGATACGAGGGAGTGAAAGGAGCAAAGACTTGATCCTGTAGCACTAACCTCTATAACAGTTTTTCTGTTGACTTCAGCAGGTGCATGGCTCAGTTGAGGAGGATAAGGACATTGTAGAGAAGCTAAATGAATGAGCAGAAATAAAAATTAAAATGAACATAAGAGAGGGACAAAACATCACAGCATCCATAAAATAAAATCATCTTTCTACAATATAGAATACTTTTGAGTGTGTCAACTGAAGAGTATAAATTATTTGGACTTTCAAAAAGCTTTTCCTAGAGTCTCTACACAAGAGGCTGTTAAGGGTACTAAATAGGGAGTGACAGGTAAAGTACTGTCATTGATTAGAAACTGTCTGACAGGCAGAAAGTGAAGTGTAGAAATACAAACTGTTGCTAAATTTTCATCATGGCAAAAGTTTAACAGTGGGGTGCTCAGGTTCCATACCAGGACCAGTACTAGTTAATATATTTATAAATTTTCTGGGAAAAAGGGGATACACAGTGAAGTGGCAAAATCTGCAGACTTGCCAGATAAGAGGAAACATGATAGAGGTATAATAAACATAGAGAAGGTAAATTCATCATAAGCTGCTGTTGAGTAAGGTGACTTCTCTTGGTTTTTTGGCTTTGATAAGTACCTAGACTTCCAGCCACCTTAAGTCTAGGCACATTTTACAGGTGGGGAACTAAACCAGAGAGAGGCTAAGTAACTTGTTAAAAAATCATACGGGAAGTTTATGAGAGAGCAGGGACTTGAACCTAGGGTCCCTACATCTTAGGCCTGTGCACAAACCTCTCATCCATCCTTCTCTAGAATGTAAGTTGTGCACTGCTATTTAATATTTTTTATAAAACAAGTACAAATAAATTGAAATGCAGCACTTCTAATCTGGCCTCTTGCTCCTCAAAAATTTCCTCTTGAGGTTCTGGGGCTCTGGACATAGAGGCTGCAGGAGATCGTCTTATTAGCTGAAAGTAGGAGATGCTAGATGCCTGTGAAGCATGGTGCCTGTATGCTGCCCATGGATCCCAGTATGGCCACTGGGGTGGGGGGAAGGGTATGGGTGGCGGTACCCACAGCTGGTCATATCAAGAGGGCTGAGAGTTAGACTGATGGTGTGACTGGGAAGGCCCTGGTTGGTGTAGAGATGGGCCATGATGTGTGGGTAGTGAGAGGACATCATCCTGGTCACTATTTGAATCCTTGATGGAAAGCTGTGGAGCTCATAAAGAGACTGGAAGCAAACACCCCATTGCTTGTGGTGATTCTGGGAATCAAGAAGTGCTCGGTACCGGGACCTTCATACCGAGTAGCGGGGACTCTGGAGTCTCAGCCACCATGAAACCTCTGGAAAAACAAAAGTCTTGCGGTACCACAGTGATCAGTACCATCAGGGCTTGTTGGTACTGACTCGCTGGTACTGAGGAAATTGGCACAGATCTTGACAAAGATGGTTGGTCTGATTAGGGTTGTTTGGAAACAGTCGGTAGCAGTGGTTTATGTGCCAGTACCTCCTTCGCAGAGATGGTACGGTCTGCGCTTT